GCTGCCGCCCTCTGCTCATCCCTCCCGCCCGGTCGCGCCTCACGCCCGCAGGCCGCGGGTGCGGGGCCGTGTCGGACAGAGGACAGGCGCTGCCGGCGTCGGAGATGTCGCAGCTCCCTCTCTGCCACTGATGCGTGTCTCCAGCCACCTCTGGCAACTTGAGCCTTAGCAGAGGTTTGCCAGGGTGGCTGGAAACATGTCAGTCTGGCTCCGGAGACACTTTGTGCCGGCCCCTACACTGGTCTTAATATTTGTCTGTGGCACTCGCAACCTAGTCCTTTGTTAAATTTATGAAGGCAACTTGTTACTGTTCTTACTGCCCACGACTCCAGGCAGAGGCCTTGTTGCTGTGCACTGCTGTGGGTGCAAAGAAAAAGATACCTACCTCAGAGAGTTGTCAGGCATCAGTAAAATACCCAGTTCCCTAGAAAGGGATTTGACTTCATGTTAATAATTGTAACGGTATAAAGTCAAGATATTCTCTATAATAGGTAGCTGCGTGTGCGATTATTGAAGCAGAGCCATTGCTGCGATGGAAATAATCAGCACTGCCAGACCAAGGCAGTTTTGCACTGCGGTGCCGTGCTGCCTTCCCCGACACCTCTGCAGGTGGAAGGTGATGGGGAACCCCCCCGCTGCCGTGGCACACCAGGGCAGGTTGACTTGGCCACATGCTGATAGCTGCGTCATCATCTTGAAAACGTCTAGTGTGGGTGTGGTGGTTGATTTGCTGTGGAGATTTTCCCGATTTCTGATTGGGAAATTTTCATTTTTAAAAGTTTGAGTGTGTGTAAGAATTTTTTTCTTGTTTTCTGTGCTCTTGAAGAGAAAGTATGCACAAGAAGTTGTGTGTTCCTGCATTTGGAATGCACATGGCTCTTTCATACATTTTTCAGTGTGGGAGGGGTTGGTTTAGCTGAATAAATAACAGGTAGTAGGTGTGGTAGCAGTTGGTCCAGGGAATACTGAATGTACATGAGATAACTTGACCTGCCAGCATGAGAATGGCTGAACTGAAACCACTTTTTATTTTCTTGACTGTTCTTGCAAAGCAGCCTCTGAAACCCACACGAACAGAAAGGGAAGAACGCAACTGGCAGTAAAGTCATGAAATTGATCCTTGTAACAGGCAACTTGTTACCAGGCTTAGCAAGGAGTGCGAAGAAAATAAACATCAGCTTTATTGATGTGTTTTATATTGAAACATAGATTCCTGACTGAGGTTATTATTTTGAGACACAATTTCTTTTAATTCAGTGCACTGCAGAGTCAAAAACTTTTGTGTGGTGATGATACTACATTGTGGGTTGAAATAGTTTAAGGAATAGTCAAGATAAAAGAGTTTTCAGACAGTCATGGGCTGAGGTTAAGTTTATTAGTTTTATTATTGTGAAACCTATTCTTAAGAGATTTTAAAACTTTAAAAACACATGTTTATCTGAAATGTGAATCATCCAGATGTGGTATTTGTTACCTGAATGTGATTTTAAAGTTACTTCTGAAATACTGTGTTCCACTTAATTCCATTTTAGAAGGTGTTTTATAGAGTTTAGACTTTTAAAACAAATGGCACTGTGAGTGATGGCTTCTGAAAGAGTAATGTTGGAAGTGGAGGTTTCTTCTTCATGAAGACAGCTACAACCGAGAGCATGGCCTATAGGTCGTAGCCTGTAACGGTGTAAGGGAAGAAGACACAATGCAGTGGTTTTTCTTCTGTTCCCTCTTTGTTGACACCATCAAAAGAAGTCACTGTTTTCATCCAGATATGCCTGTTTCATACAAGTTCAGTCAAATGATCCCTACCTGTCATGCAGCCTATTGAATGCCCATCTGAGATTAATTGATTTTTCACCTTGACCTGTCCACCTGGAATGGTGATTCAGGTAGTGGGAAGATTATCCAGGCTGTGCAGTCTCTCAGCCATTCCGAGTTCCCTGACAAAATCATGTGCCACCACCTTCATTAGTGGCAAAGGGTCATAGGCACAGAAGTTAAAAGGTTGTTGCAAGTCTCATTTTTATGACGTCATGTATCGCAGGTTTGTGTTACTAGGATAGTGTTACTTGAGGGGAAAAAAACCCCAACAAATTAAACGTTCTGTAGTAGGCTCCAGTAATAGCGAACTTTTCTAAAACTATGTATTTTATGAAAGAAATTGTATATCCACAGTAAGTTTTCATTGAAAGCTTTTTATGCAGCACTTAAACACTCAAGGCTGGATGCCCTTCCTCCTCTTCAGTTATGCAGTTTGGGTAAATTATAAGCAGTTATAGTTTTCTAATTAAAGTTATATGCATCATAAGGCAGACGCATTGTATTATGAATAGACTATAAAGAATAAATGTTTTTATTTAAACAATGGCATTGCATATAAAGCCATAGAGAAAGTTTATGAACAAAAAAAACCCCTTGTATACAAGTTAACAGGATTGTGATCTCACAGGCTGTGAGGTTGTTATTTTGCTGTATTATGGTGGCTGTGGTCCTGCAGCACACGTTTTCTGTGAGAAATGTTTCTGTAGAGGTCTGAGTTCTCCCAAATTTGTCATAGTTGAACTCCCACTTCAGAGTTAAACAGAAAAAGATAATTTTATTTTGACTTTTTCCTCAAAAGGAAACTTTTGCGTTCTAATGCTTATATTTAAGAAAAAAAAATATTTATTAAGAGTGAAGTTGCAAATTGAAGTGATTTACACATTTGTTTCTAATGCTCAATGAATAAGAGAACCAGCTCTGAAGTCTCTGTAGATTCCTTGATACTTAATTTTAGAAGAAAATAGAGCTAATCAACAAAAATGAACCATACTGAAGGTAAACATGTCCTGTGTTAACAACACTACTAGTAATCTGCACCTTAATTTATTTATTTTTTTTTAACAAGGCTTCTGTCTGTGCTGTCACTGTTGCATCCTGCTAAGCTACTCAGACTCATGTTTCCTCTGGATAGACCTGTTTTTTTGAGCCTTTTCTATTGGGAACCCACCAGCTCTACTGGGGTGAAAAGTGTGTTGTAATTTTTTAGGCCAGCTCCAATAGACCTCTTTGAAGAGGACTTTTGCAGATGGCCAAAGACTATTTTATAATTACTGAGGGAAGAGAGTACTGAAGGAAGTGTGACTGACTGTTCTGATGCTTTTTAGACCTAAGGTACCTCAGTCCTAACATGGGCATATTTGGAATATAAGGAAAATAAAATAATCTCTTGGCTATAAAACTTGGAAATAACAAGTAGAATTTGAACTTGTACCCAGCATACCCCTTCTCAGTTTTATTTGACAACCTAAAAGAAGCAAGTACAAGCTGTTGCATTCAAATAACATTTATCTCGAGAGTGGTAATCAATGCTCACTTTGTATTGTATTGTATAATGCATGGGCCTAAAAGCATCTGAAATCTGTGAGCTGTCTGTGGCATTGTATTTCTCATTTTTCTTTTCTGTCTTTCCAATTTGCTAAGTTTGCTGGAAATTTCATATAAAGACATGAACAATTCATGCATACAGAACATATTGACTTCTGTTTTTCACTAACATTCATTGACCTTTTAGGTCAATAAATTTTGAAGTTGATTTAAGAAGTCAATAAGGCTTATTTTAATTTAGATTAAGTTTTAGTCTGATTCAGCACTCTGCTTCCCTTTCTATATATATATATTAAAAAAAGCTTATAGCAATTTATTATTAAAATGGATGTCATCTAAGAACTGTTTCCTATAGGTCTGGGAATCCCTGTCTGGATTATAATTTTCTGCTGTATTCCCAATGCACCATGTGAAAGTGACATTCCAGCCTCCCAGTGTGTACTCTGTCCCTGTCAACTGCTCTAACATCAATTGTAGAAAGTGATACAGATAATTAAACAAAATCGTGTGAATTTCAGGAGCAAATGTTTTCCATCACATTGGAATTTCACCTTACATGAGCAAATTTGACTTAAATTACATTTCCACCTGACATTATTAATTCCATCAAGGAAGCTTTGTGTAATATTAATTACAGATACCAATTATATTATTTCATCTTTCCTTTCCATTGGAGCTTCAATAAAAATTCATCAAGTGAAGGACATGATTATCATAATAATTTTTAAAATTCACCTAAACTCTTTTACCACATACACACAAAAATGTTAATAGCATTGGAACCATGCAAGAGTGTACTTGTAAAAGTTTTGTGCCCAATACATCTGTCAGTAAAAAGGGAGCATTTTCTCTACTGCATTTTTGGTTATTGCTATGGGTGCTTTCATTTGATAAAGTATTTTGGCAGACAGGTTTTTACAGAAATCAGTGTGATGGTATTAACTTAAAATTTGTGTGCTTTTTCAATCTGTTTAGTTCTTTCAAATGACATTTCTACTTATGAAAAGCCACTCTGACGTCATCTTAAATAGCCATATTTTGACTTTAGGGAATTTTGATCATGCAGTATGGCCAGCTATCGCAATGTCACCTTAACTTCACTCAATGTAATTGACAAAATCAGCCTTGCTGTTTTTCAATGGGAAAAAAAAAAAATGAGCAGAGAAATTATTAAACGCTGTTTCAATTTTCAGCAATAAAGTACTTGGAAAAAAAATGGTTAACTGTGAGGAAATGCATTACTCTAAAGTAGCAGCTGATAGCTGGCAGATTCTTATATTAAGATTGGAGCTTCAACAATGCATAAATCCAGGTATTATCTACCACATTTGGAGTACTAAATTGATAATATAATAAAGGAAAACACTAGAAATTATAGGGAAAGTATCTCTGAGGAAAGATCTTTAGTGTGCGTAGAGCCAACATTCTGCACTGATTTCAAGTGCTAATGCTTGATTTTGCATTAGCGCTATGGATCTGGGATGCACAGTGATTAAGGTTATAGAGACAATCCTCTTCAGTTTGAATGAAATCCAATGTATGTTTGTGTTTAACTATTACAGCTAATTCTTATTCCTCTTCATGTAACCCTGGATTTTTTTTTTCTAGGAGTTTGGAAGCATAGATGGAAAAATGGCAGTGTGCATGTGTAACAGCTTTGTAAGCATTTCTACCTCTCTATTCATAGCTGCCACACTGTTGCGATGAAACTGGAAACAACTGATATCGCCAATATAATTAGCCAAGTATTATTGTGCATAGGCCATGCAACTGCTGTCATGTGACTTGCCTATTCGTGGAAATACCTACATGTGGATTTATAGTATGCGCACCTTTTCTTTGACGTGCCCCTCCGTTGCTTCGTACTGGCATTGCTTTGTATTGTATTTGTGTAATGTATTGGCACACAGCTGTGTTCACCACTGAATAATTCCCTTTTACAACTTCCATTTTGAATCTATGTGGTTGACTAGTTATTCTTTGTTTGATAGAGTTCCTTTTCACTTTCTGTTCAAAATTGCATGATAACTAGAGCTAAGAAACAATCTTCAAAAGGAATCCATGTTATTATGCGAAATGTTACAGACTTTCTTCTTTCTCCTAGGCATTGATTTTAAAGTGAAGCCAGTAACATTCAATGGTACAAGAGTTAAACTTCAAATATGGTAAGTTTTAATTTATATCACAAAGGAGAGCCAACTAAATTACATTACAGCGTGAAAAATCTCATCTGTTTTTAATTGCATGTCTTCCTACAGTGCAATTGTTCCTACTAGGTCATTTTAAAATGTGAATTTGGCCTAGGGGAGCGTATTTTTGCAGCGACTAATGGAAGTTAAGAAGGGGGTTGTCACTAGGTTGCTTTAATAATAAAACTTTGCTATTGCAGCATAGAAACAATACAGCTCTACCATCCATATTAAGTATATTTAATTCTGCAAGTACATTGAGGGAAGTGACAAAGCAAGAAAATTTTACATTTCATTACCCATCAAATGCACGTTCAAAAGGGTCACTAAGAGAAAGCTAGTGAGGTGAATCTTTGGGAATGTACACTCTGTTTTTTGGTTTTTGAGTTTTTTCTAAAGGCTGTGTAGGGCTAGTGACAGCCATCTCTCCAAGCATCTGGTACTGAAGGTTATCTATATTTACCAGTATTTAACTTCTCGAGAAGTAACTCTGTATATGGTTTATCCAGTATTAGACCTGCAGTTACTCCATCTCAAGTTTAATACAGAAGTCTTGGAGGCTTGTTTGCAGCTTTCTTAAGGCATAATTATGTGTAGGAGTCTTTGCATCCCTGTATTTTCTGGCTTTTTTCCCCAAACCTACATTCAATCTAAACCAGTTTACTGACTGTGTCACAGTTTACAAAGGGCTTGTCAGAATATGGGATGTCATCTGACTCCTGCAGAACTTGTATTCCAGATTTTTTTTTTTTTTTATAGCCTAAGTTGTACTGATCTTAATGATTAACTATATATAAAGAAGCAGTGTCAGCTTGAAGTTACACTCAAACTTCAGCCACTGGTTTAGTTTCCCTACTAGGGCTGTATTATTCAGAATAAATTTCCAGTGTATTTCTTTCACTGCTCTATCCGGCATCCAGATTTTCTCTTATATTTTTTTCTTCCTTTCATGTTAGAGTACACCATTCAAAATTTGGACAATACTTTTTAAAATACAGTGATTTTTTTTCTTGGGGGTTCTGCAGTTTGGTCATCTTTTGTTTGTTTGCATGTGTGTGATTTCTTATCCTTTTTTTTAGGGATACTGCTGGCCAGGAACGATTCCATACACTCAGTACTAGCTATTTTCGTGGTGCACAAGGCTTTATTCTTGTATATGACATCACAAATCTGGACAGTTTTCAAAGTATAACAACCTGGATGAAAGACATACATGAGGTAAATATATCCAACAGTGGTTGGTCTCTTAATGAAGGTAGCTAATGAGTTACTGCACTTAATGTTTTAAATGACTGCATGAGATTTATTCTTGTTCCTTGAGCTGTATGTTTCTAACCAGAATTTCTTAAATTTAACTCAGGATACAGTATGATAGTTGGATTACTGTTATCTGAAACTGGAATAGAGTGTGTACTATCCAGGACAAGCCAATGGTGATGCAGGAGTATTTTTTGAAGTACTTCTAAAACATAGCTTCCAATCTGTTTTTGCACATGCTGAGTTATGGTGCTTTTGTCACTGGTGTGGCTGTGTACAAGCCAGTCTCCATGAGCTCATCCCAGAATTTTAATTGGCTTCCATGTCAAAATTCCTTACCACAACCAGGGATATTCCTTTCCTAATTTCATTACTTTAGTGAGTCACCTCATCCCAAGAATCCAAAGTAACAAATCAAATGAAACGTCCTCTTCGTCCTTGCTGGATATTCCCTTTGAGAGGTTGGTTTCAAGAATCACAGAATCATTTAGATTGGAAAATACCCTTAAGATCATGAAGTCCAACCGTAAACCTAACTGCCAAGTCCACCGCTAAATCCTGTCCTTAAGTGCCACATCCACATGCCTTTGAAATACCTCCAGGGATGGTGACTCAAGCACTTCCCCGGGCAGCCTGTTCCAATGCTTGACAACACTTTCCGTGAATAAATTTTTCTTGATATCCAATCTAAACTTCCCCTGGCACAACTTGAGGGCATTTCCTCTCATCCTATAACTTGTTACGTGGGAAAAGAGGCCGAGACCCATCTCGCTACAACCTCCTTTCAGGTAGTAGCGATGAGTTCTCCCCTCAGCCTCCTTCTCTCCAGGCTAAACAACCCCAGTTCCCTCAGCTGCTCCTCACAGGACTTGTGCTCTAGACCCTTCACCAGCTTTGTTGCCCTTCTTTGGACATACTCCAACACCTCATTGTCTTTCTTGTAGTGAGGGACCCAAAACTGAACACAGTATTCAAGGTGTGGCCTCACTAGTGCTGAGTACAGAGGGACGATCATTTCCCTAATCCTGCTGGCCACGTTATTTCTGACACAAGCCAGGATGCCATTGGCCTTCTTGGCCATGTGGGCACACTGCTGGCTCATGTTCAGCCAGCTGTTGACCAGCACCCCAGGTCCTTCTCTGCTGGGCAGCTCTCCAGCCACTCTCCCCCAAGCCTGTAGCATCGCATGGGGTTGTTGTGACCCAAGTGCAGGACCCAGCACTTAGCCTTCTTGAACCTCACACAATTGACCTCGGCTCATCAATCCAGCCTGTCTAGATCCCTCTGTAGAGCCTTCCTACCCCCAAGCAGATCAACACTTCTGCCCAGCTTGGTGTAATCTGCAAATTTACTAGGGTGCACTCGATCCCCTTGTCTAGATCGTTGATAAAGATATCAAAGAGAACTGGCCCCAATACTGAGCCCTGGGTAACTCCACTTGTGACTAGTTGCCATCTGGATTGAGCTCCATTCACCACAACTCTTTGAGCCTGGCCATCCAGCCAGTTTCTCCAGTAGAATGCTGTAGGAGGAACTGGGGGAGGAAAGGAGAATCCCTTTTTGGTGGCAGTGAGCTATCAGTCAGCCCAGCTGCTTGTGGTACTGCAGCCAGAAGCATGTGCTTTCATGTGACCTAGGAAGTGATTCAACAGCACATGGCTGCCAGACAAGGAGTGTGTTCCCACCTCCCTTCCTGCTTCTGAATGTTAGCTCCCACTGTGCTGCTTCAGGAGCTTGTCAGAGCTCTCTGAGGTTCACTCTGACTTTCTAACATGATAGAAAGCCAACACAGCAAAAACAGCTGGATGATTTTCTGCTGCATCAGTGAGTCTTAAAAGGTGCATAGAAAAGTCTGACAGTTATTGGAGTTGGCACAAGATAAACGGGTAGAAGTAAGAAAGCCAGGGGAAGAACATGTGGGAACAGGGTGAGTGAGGAGTCAGGCAGGGAGGTGTGGGCAAGCCCTTAGACATCAGATCATTCAGCTGCCTGTGACCCTGTACCCTGAGTCTTTAATAGCTAGGTCTGTCTTGATGTGTTCTCGGTTAGGTAGTGGCAAGTCAGTTTTAGAATAGAATAGTTCAGCTGGAAGGGACCTACAGCGATCATCTAGTCCAACTGCCTGACCACTTTTGGGCTGACCAAAACTTAAAGCATGTTATTAAGGGCATTGTCCAAATGCCTCTTAAACATTTATGTACTTGGGGCATTGACCACCTCTCTAGGAAGCCTGTGCTGGTGTTTGAACAACCTCTCCATAAAGAAATGCTTCCTAATGTCCAGTCTGAACTTCCCATGGTGCAGCTTTGAACCATTCCCACATGTCCTATTGCTGGATACCAGAGAGAAAAGCTCAGCACCTCCCTCTCTTCCCCTCCTCAGGAAGCTGTGGAGAGCAATGAGGTTGCCCAGAGCAGTAACATGGAAGTTTGTGGTTAGCATGCTTTTATAAGCTAGTATGATTGTGTAAGAATCCAAGCAAGATAGTGCTCTATAGTGATTAAAATCAAGTAGATATTCAGGCAGGTTTTGTAATGCTCTGTGAATTGGTAGGAATATGACATGATGCATGGGAGAGTTCATCTTGGGAAAGCGGGCTCAAAATAAAACCATCAAACATGTCCTTTTCTCTCTTCACAGCTTCAGTATACAGATGAATTAATGAATTACACATGGTCATATATCCAATAATATAGACATAGGGTATCTTATATTGTTGGTAAAACATTACATTTACGTTACCTCAGTATTAAGAACATCACTGTGATGACCTAGCACGTCATTATCCTTGTCCTCAGAGCCATCTTAAAAGTCTTTGTGGCAACAGAGCCTAACTTCAGTAATGTGTTACAAAGGAGCTTTGATGATAGAGTATTCTTACTGGTTTGTCTGCACACACTTCAAACTACTACATGTGTTTTATTACTTTGTTAAGAAAAGCGTGTTCCCTTCTCCTGTTAGGTAAACCAACAAAAGTTAAGCTAGATTTGTCACTGGTGGTACAGTAGATAAAATTTACTCAGCACATAGTATGTTAGTAGGTTTACTGTTATCTGAAGCTGAAAATGTAAAGTACCCATATATATCAATTTATAGATATATAAATACATATATATACACATGTGCATCTATCTGTTGATCAATAGATTGATCTATGTGTATGTGTCTTTATATATATAAAAAATACTGACCTACCTTCATACTACCTTCAAAGGGGTCATTTTGTCCTGTCATCTTTAATTAGATCAACAGGATGGTTGATTCACTGGGCTACAACTCAAAACCACAAATGCAAAGTGTCAGGACCATGTGGCTGGAAGTGGAGGGAAGGATGGGACTAGGTTTCCTAGCCACTCTTGTAGCAGGCTTCGAGCTGATTAAGTCAATCAAGAAGTCACACCTGCACGAGCCTGCTTTCTGTGACACTTAAAAGCTTTTGTGTAAACATACTCAAGCTATTAATATTTAGATTGTTTAATCTTAACCCCTGAAGTTACTTTGTTAGTTTAGAATTTAAAAAATGGGAAAAACCTCAATTTAAAACAATTTCTGGGAATGTAAATTGCATAATTGATTGTACCAATCTCAAAACCAGCAATTAGTGAGTGTTGTAATAGAGCTAGATAATAATAAAAAATTTAATTTAGTCCTAGTGGGATATCAATTTCTTAAGTGTCTTGGTGAAAATATATGGGGCCATTCATTGCAAAAGAAGTGTTTTTAAGCAATAACTGTTAAAACACGGGGCATTTCATGAAAATTAATTACTCACTTGTATGTTGGTGACATTCCCTGCATTTGCTTTGGTCTGTGAATGCAAACCAGTATTTAATTCCCCACAAATGCCCAGTATCAAAGTGGCTGGTGCTACAGCACCCTTAAAAACGTGCAAGGGTAGACATATTAAAAGAGAAACAGATACAGGTTTCATTAAACACCAGACTAATAGGTAATGTAAAGCTTGCACCTGAACAAATCAAACTGGATTTTTTTGAGACAATTCAGTTATTACATTACGCTTTCATTTTTGAATTCTATGTACATAGAGATATTAAACAGAAAGTTTTTTAAAAATCTGTTCAGTGTGCTAAGCCATTTTTACAACAGTTGAAAATAACAATCTAAACAATTCAGCATTCCTAAAAACTCCATTGGTTTTATAAAAACTATCCAGTCGGTGCTATTACAGTCAGATTACCAGTAATGTTCTCATTGCATTTCAATTATTTTAAGTGTGGAACACAGCAACTTTCCTATTAAAAATGAATTATTGTTCAAGGAAATTCAAGACATAAATATGCTGCCATATTTGTATTGTTGTAATATATATATTCAGAACTAGAGGAAATAAGTACATGACTGTACTTACCTACATGACTGTACTTAAAAAAGCTTACTAGAAAAATATGCTTGCAGATTAATATCTTAGAACATTATTGGCAAATCCAATACAGGTTTATTGGATTTGTAATGCACTCATTAGGAGCATGATAATTGCAGGAAAATTACTTTAGAACCTGAAATCATTCTTTATTCATGGGATTGTGGGTGATGTCCAGTTTGTTAAGGTGTTCCTTTTGTCTGCTGACATGGCTTTTGGCTATTGTGTGCAGCTGTTCTGAAAGGTTAATTGTCCTTTGAAAATTAAATACAAGTAACTATGTACCAAATCAATTTGTAGAAAACAGTTTTTTCTAGGATGTTTTGAACAAGATTCCACCTAACTTATGAGCAAAAAGTTCTTGGAAATAGGTCAAATGCTCCAACAGGTGTCCAGAGAGGATCTGGAAGTACTTAAAACTCAATTCAACAGGGTCTTGAGCAACCTGACCAGAGTTCAAAGTTGGCCCTTTTTTGAACAGGATGTTAGACCAGTTGACTTCCAGAAGTCCTTGACAACATAAATGGCTCTGTGATGCATGCATGGCATCTGGGTCTCTAAAAACTTTTGACATACACGGTTGGCCCTAGTTTTCTTTTAAATAAATTGGAATGGTTTTCATTGTGTTAGTCTCCTGGTGTGGCATGAAGATGGCATTACCAGGTTGTAATGATTATCTGCTGGAAATTCTCTGCTAGCACAGAATTTTCTTCATGGGAAAGACAGATTCATTTTCCCATGCAGTAAAAAGTCTTGGTGGTGTAATTTAGTGTTCTTGGAATATATTAGCTTTCTGTTTACGCTATTTGAAAGAAGGGACTCCCCAACCAGGGTATGAAATATATGGCTGTGTTGGGTTACTGCTGTTTTTTCATAGTGCCCTCTTCTGGTTTTCTGGATTAGATGCATCTGAGAGTTGGGAACCTGAGCTGTTGAGTGTTTCTGTATCATACTTAAATAAAAGCACCACAGCAAAATGCTTTACAAATGTAAAATAGCTTTACTTCAAAATCTTCTGAGTTTTGGTTTTCTAGATGGGAAAGTTTGGTGCCAAAAGGATCGAATTGTTCCACTTCATAGATGGGTCTGTTGTAATGACTGTGATTAGAACTGAAAATTATTGTTCTTGTCACTCTGTTGAATTGGTTTATCTCTAATTCAAGACTAGTTTGAGGATACATTGGAGGATATATCTAATCAAGTCTAAGTTTACTAATAGACAAATTCTGTCATTTGTACAATTCCACCGAAGTCCTGGAAATGAGGCATTTATAACCAAGGTCATCATGTGGCACTTAGAAAAATATATGGAAAGAGACATCTATAGGAATCCTAATATGAATACTGCCCCTGTAATAATTTCAAAGAGATTGTGGGGAGAGTGTATTCTGAACAAATTATTCTTTGTTAATACAAAGGATCAGTTTCCAGTGTCATTGTCTCGTGAGTAGGAGGAGGAAACTTCTCAGCTTTATGGCCTTCCTGAGCTCTGCCTTCATCTTGCTGCATGACCATGCATATTTCCATCTCCTCTTCAAATCTGAAAAATTATATTAATACAGTGTTTCTTCCTCAAATACAAACTAATTAAGCATTAAGCATAATTAAGCATAGTGTATTTATCAGATCTGGGTTCTCTATTTCACTGTTTTGACTTGCAAACCAACTTTTATTCCCTTTCACACTGTAATCAGTGAGTATCAAAATCATGTAGCCCTGCACAGTTATGCACTGGAAATGTGATGGAGGGACAGGATGGTGATTCTGGATAGTTATTTGTACAGCAAGGAGTCTGGATGAGCTTTGGGTAATCATGCTGAATTTGCTGCAAGGTTGAGGCCAGTCATTCATGGTAGGGTCTGTACTCATCATTTAAAAAGTGAAGAGATAGTTTCTCCCAGTAACCTGCAAGTACAAATGTGACGTAGTTCTCTTACAGTAAAGGTGTCAGTGCTACTTTTGACATATATATTCACAATACTTCTGTGAAATAGCTTTCCTCTGCAAAATGAGGACAAGGGCCAAATAAAAGACCTAACATTGGGGAAGAAAAAAAGAGTTATGTACAAAATGGATGAGCAAGATATTTTCCCTTTTGCATTCTTGATTTCTGTTAATAGCCACATAGTCAAGAAGTTGGGTATTTACCTGGTTGGGTGCACAGGGTAGGTGAAAGTTGAGCGGTACTGGAGTTAGTTCAGGGCGTGGATGGCTGGCTGCTATCACGGTGTGCGAGTCCGGTGTGCCTAGTCGGGGCCCTGGCACCGCTGTGTTTGAGGCTCTGGCACTGCTCCCTCCTGTGGCCACCGGTCACAGAAGCCTGGCTCCTTGTTCTGAAACCTGATGACTCTTCAAAAAAACTTGTTCAGTCTCAACTTCAATTTTTGGAGAGAAATGTAGTGCTGATATTTCCTCTTTGGATTTTTTTTTTTTTTAAAAAAAAGTAGGGTAGGTTTTCTCTGAGTTCAGATTATTTTTATTTTAAGTTTCAGTAAAATGTGAACTTTGAAATGTTAAAACCAGAAGAAAAACTTAAGAGATTGAACCAAAACTCTGTATGTATTTTTGAGATACCAAAGGAAAACACTTTCAAAAAAAGTTTTCCTTGCCATGAAATTGATGAAATTTTTAATAGTATTTTTCCATGACATGAGAAACAAATGTTTCCTGACTCTATTAGCTTAGTCAGTGCTGACTTGCATAATAGCATCTTAACAACTGTAAAATAACCATCCTCTTTTTAGCTATAGATTTTGCATTTGGAAAGCTTATTCCTAAGCTATAAATAAAAGAGGATGAAAATAAACAGGGATCTTTTGAAAGCACTGAAGAGACGTATTTTTGGCAAATTCAAATCAGTGTACCTCTGCAGTTTTTATGCCAATTGAGCACATGGTCAAACTTCTGCCTAGTCGTATTGACTTCATCTACATTCAGGTTTTGAAACTTAAAATGGACATAATTTGGTGTATATTCTTTAGTTTTCTAAAAGCAAGAAACTGCAAGATACCATCTTTAAAAAAAAAAAAAAAAAAAAAAAAAGTACTTGCAGTCCTTTGGTGGAGGATCCAGTCAAGGAGAAAATACATTATTACATTGTATTAATGTAGAAATAATAGTTATTTGCTGAAATAAATATTTACTGGCTTGGTGTCCCTAACCTCCTTTAAATTTTGTTACTATTTGAAGTTGTTTAGAAAGAACACTCCTACTGCAAAAATTTGTGCTGTACTCTGCAGGTACAGGATGGATTTCATGGTTTTGTACAGAAAGCATGCTAGTATTTCCCTTTGACCTTATACTTCACAGTAAAGTCAAATGTTCCTTGTAAAACCTTCAGCTACATACATTCTTAAAAAGTTGGTTATGTGATGAGATTAAATTGTCTATTTACCCTGTTTTAGGGACTGATGTATGTAATTTTATGTAGGAGAACCATTGACCTTAATGAGTAAAGCTTCAGTGCATTCCGAAACAGCCATCATTTTTGTCTGTTAATCCAGGTTAGATTGATTCATTATTTTAGGCCTGTACTTTGTACTCTTATGATGAATTTACTTCATTTTAATACTACATTATCTTGAACATCAGATGTGGGTATGAAATAAGATTAACTGACTCTAAAATGAGAGTGGATTAAAAAAATTGAAATAGTGTTCCTTAATAAAGTGTGCCTACTGTTGTACTCTTCAGATGAAGCAATTTAGTTGCAAAAGTGTGAATAGACTAAAACCAATGATTCTCTCATCCTTTAATGAATAGAGATTCTTCTTTGCAATTTTCTGAAGGGATGGATTTGTGTCTGTATCCATGTGTGTGAGCTCTGGGGAAGATGATTGTCTGTGCCTGGTTTTGTCTTATGGGAAAGTCATAAAAATTAAGACTTTGACAGAGATCAGAGGTTTCATCAATGTCCTTGTAGCGAGACCTGCAGCCTGTGACCAGGCTTGCTGAATCATCAGAGAAACTCTGTGAGCATGTACTTTCACAATATAAGCCATGGGAACAGACCATGTTAGCTTTAATTGTCTCTAGATTGAGGCCCTTGGGTTCTTCTATTTTAGCATCAAAAGTGGTTTAAATATTATGATTTTCACAACAAATGTCAGTTTACAGATTCCACATGCTGTTGCAGAACTGTGCTCTTTCTTTGTCATTATTACAGTCATGTATAGTTACAATGGCTTATCTTAAAATAACACTGATGTGAGGCACCTAGTGCATTTCTCAGTCACCATGTACGTAACTGGATTAGTGGAACAAAAGGGTGGAGATGAGATCAGAAAGCTAGATTTTTCTTCCTTTTGAAATCAATGAGGTTTTAAAATTTTACTTCATTAAAAATCTATTGCCTTCTTCCAAGTGTCTTGGAATAATTAAGCTTTTATGTTTAGTTTGAACACTTTGAATGTAATTTTACTGTCTCTGTACAAAAGTGAAGCACAGAGAGGTCTCTTCCAGGTGCAGCAGATTCCTTCCTTTTTACTTGTGAGTGCTAGATGTAGACCAGAATAATATGCCAATCCATGAACCTATTACTTTAGGGAGCATAGTGTCTGTGAATCTGGGGCATTTCCAGTCACTTTAAAGCCTCAAGATGGAGTATTCATCAGAAGATGGTGCCCATGCACCAGATACTTTATATCTTATGAAAGGGGTTGCATATTATGCCCTGCACCTGTAAACTGCTTTTTTCCGCTATTTGCAGTCTTGCTGTTTTCCTCTGAATCCTAGTAACTGATGGAAAATATTTCCACAGATGAAAAGGTCGGACAGAATTTAGCCTTTACTTTCAAGGAAATAAAGTGTTGAAGGTTAGTGTGAGCTGAAGGTGAAGGGCTTTTGTTGTTTGATTTCTTCTTACTTGACACTTATTAATGCTGGTTCTCTTTTAGAAAGCAGGTGATGAAGTGGACGTAATACTGTTGGGCAACAAGTGTGATAAGGAGTCAGAACGTGTAGTTCCAAAGCATAAAGGAGAAAAGGTATCATTGATCACTGGTACTTTCCTTGGGTTCTTCTGAGTATTTCAGTATGTGACTGTGAGCTGTTACACTGAAAATAATAAAAAGCTCCTGAATTTCAAAAATTCAATTAGAAATTGCTCTAGAAAAATGGCTGTGGAGTTCTGGAGTGGTTGGGTTTTTTTAATATATGAGCAGAAATGCATTAAATAACTCCCTAGCTGATCTCTTTACAATACCTATTTTAATGGTTAAAATGTACTTTAAAAGTTTTAGGTGTTATGATAGAAGTCTTATATTCTGAATTAAAACTAAAAATATTTTAGGGTCTCCATTTTCAGAGTACTGTTTTAATGTGAATTCTAAAATACAGTGCATAATACATTCTGCATAGTTTTTCTGGTACCTGATGCACCCATCAATTATTTTTTTGCTGTAGCCTGACTGTAAAGAACTATTTTGGCAGACTGTGCACTGTGATCTGCATTGTCTTTGAATAGCCCTAAATAATACTGGACAGATACATTTAGGGAACATCTAGCTCCCCTAGTTCTGAGTATCTGTCGTACATCTGAGACTACAGTATACTTTATACCTACAGACCATGTGTAGGGGAAGAACTGGTGTTAAGTGGGGAGTGCTGTTTTAAAGGCGATGGCAAATTACTCTCACTGAGAACCAAATAGGAAATCCAGGAGCCATGCTATGGCAGAAGAAATTGTAATAATGACTACATGTTGCAGGAGAGCATGTCCTATATACCTGTACATTTTGCAACTGTAAACTGTATGCCTCTGTTGTCTGGAACTTGGAATGAGCCCTTCTATTGTGCTTTCAGGCGTGGTAAATCAGGCAGGCTGTCTCTTGTGTTTAAAGAAGATAACACTGATAATTTCTTGCCATTTATATAATCCCAGATTAGGTAATTTTAAAAAATAGTGCCACATTTTCAACAACATTACAGATAGAAACTTTCGAAAGGTCCTTGTTTGTATGCAAGACATTTTCAATGTTAATATACTATATCTGTGTACAAGGAATAATGTTGCTGAAAAATACAAGTATACTCTCACTCAAAGAATGCAGTGTCAGAAATCTAGAGTGACTGGATGCATGTGCACAAGAGGGTGGTAGTAGGGTCTTGCATATGGTATTAACCATGACATTTTCTGACTTACGTGTACTTAACTATGCAATCAATATATCTCTTAATGTAGTATTTTTTTCAGAAACAAATCATTACCTCCTCACCAATGAATCTGCTTTCTAGATTTCTCCTGTGCTTTGAGGCAAGGCAACTCTTCACTTAAACTATATCTTCTTCTAATGTGATTTACAAATGCTAAAGAATCTGACTGAACCAGCCGGAGAATTATTTCATTAGCAGAGAGAGAGCTAATAATTGTCCTCTCACTCCAAAGAAGAAAATATTAAGAGGGGAAAAATGGTTTGATACTAACTCTGCCACATAACAGTTCATGCTACATATTTCATATTACCCTGTGAGTATGAGCTGTAAGTATTGTACGGTTTAGAATTTTGCAGAGAAGTCCCCTAGATTCCCTGAGGATCTCACCATCTATGTTGGCATTTCTGTAACAATCTGTTGTAAATGAGTGGCCATCATATGCCTCTTTATAGACTAATATAATGCTGAGAATTTTTTTGTTTGTTTTCTTTTGTATTTATATAATTTTGATCACTCAGAAATTAATATATTTAATTTTAACACTGTGAAGTATTTTCTTGTATTAATAGCTGTTTATTCACTTCGAGAAAAGTTTGAACTGCCTTCTTGGGCTCCTCCATTCCCCCCCAATAACAGTATCTTTTTCTCTGAAAGATAAATAAAAATGTTGAAGATTTTATGACCTGGTAGAATGTGGCCATCTCTCTTGTGTCAAATCTTTCTAACAGAAAGAGCCAAGTTTTTTTTTTTTTTTTTTTTTTTTTTTTTTTTTGCTTTCACTGTCTTCATGTGCCTGACTTCAAAGCTGATTCTACAGGTACAATACAAATGAAAAAAAAATTTGCATGGTTCTAGGAATATTTCAGACACATCTTTCTGATTCAATGCTAAGATATAACAGCACTTTGCTAGGAAGTAGTATATTTGGAGTTAAAAAACCCAAACAATTTGAATTGAATTTCACCTTGGAAGAGCTATTGGCATTACTTTGTTATTGTAAGATATGACCTTATTTCAGTCGAGATCTCCAAACGTTCTCAAGGATAATATAAAATAGCATTTCCCAGTAGCATAATTCCCATAGGTTTGTCAGTGTATTTAGGTATTTTATTTATGGATCTATTAAAAATGCTCCCAAAGGCAAAAGAAAGAAATCCTTTGAACATGCCTTTCCAGTTTCTTTTTGTGAGGGAGCAGCCAAAGCTGTGTTCATACTTCCAACTGCTTTAACACTGGACTGTTTGTTTTTCCCAACTAGCTGCATTTTTAGAGGACTTGTTTGCCACAGTACTTAGAAGTATGTAAGGTGAATTGGAATAATACATACATTAATCTTCTTTGACCAATATTGTGCACATACAGAGAAAACGAGGATGCATTGATAGGTGTAGTAAGCAATGTACTAACATGCGAAGGCTGAGGTATTCAGGTTTATTTTATTTTATTTTGTTTTGTTTTGTTTTGTTTTGTTTTTCTTTTGCATTCATCTTCACAGATGGAGCTTGCTCCCAGACCTCCGCATGTACTGGCGTTGTTTGGGAAGGAGCAGGTCAGCCAGCAGTGAGAAAGCATTAGATTAGAAATTTCTTGGGAAAGTTGGATGCATCCGTAGACATGATGAAGTATACCCAGTTGTGCTGAAAGAGCTGGTCAATGTGATTGGGGTCACTGTCAGTCAGCTCTGAAAAATCATGGTGGCTGGGAGAGATCCTTGTTGACTAGAAGGATGCCAGCATGATACCTGTCTTTAAATAAGGCAACAAAGAGGGTTCAGAGAACTATAGTCAGCCTTGCTTCAGTCAGTGGAAAACTCATGGAGCATGTTGTCATCAGATCCTCTGCCAAGGACATAGAGGACACAGAGATAATCTGACAGAAGTCAAATTGTGCTTCACCACCCTGGTTGCCCCCTCTAATGCCAGGAAGTGACTGTGTGGACAGGGGAATAATGGTGGTTGTGATATATCTTGAATTTCATAAGGCTTTTGTCACCCTCTCCCATGGTATCCTCACTTGGAAGCTAGGAAATGTGGGCTAGACAAGTGGACCATTAAGTGGGGGCTGAAAATTGGCTGGACTACCAGAGGCAAAGGGCAGTGATGGAAGGCTGTGTGTCTGGTTGGTAGCTAGTAATGAGCAGAGTATATCAGGGGTATATAGTGGGGCTCACGTTGTTCAACATCAGTGATCTGGCTGATGCCACAAGGAGATTTGCATGTAACATGAGGTTAAGGGGTGTGACTGGCATACCAAATGGGAGAACAACAGTTCTGTAGGACCTTGATAAACTTGAGAACTAGGCCAACAGAAACATAATGAAATTCAGTAAGAAGTGCAGAGATTTACACCTGGGATGGAATAATCCTAGACATGAGTCACTGCCCTGCTGCAAAGGACTGGTGGGTTACAGTGAACACCAGCTTGAATATTAAGTCAACAGTGTTCTCTCATTGCTTAAAAGCATGCTTGGCTACATTAGAAGGATAATGGATGGTAGATCTGGGGAGATTATTAGTCCCCCTACTTAGTGCTGGCAGGGCAACATGGAATATTGTGTCCATCTTTGGCTTTCCCATTCCGAGAAGGGTGTTTAGAAATTGCAGATGGCCCAGCAGACAACCACAAAGATGACTGGGGTCTAGTACCAGTAATCCATGAGGAGAACTGGGGGAGCCGGGTAAAGAGGAGGCTAAAGAGCAGTTCTCGGTCTACAGCAGTTGAAGTGTAGCAAGAGCAATGAGATAAGTAAGACTTCTCAGTAGAGACAGGCAATAAAGCAAGGGGCAGCAGACACATGTCCTGGCTTAGGAGGTTCAAGTTGGAGATAAAGAGAACTATTTACACTAGAAGGGTGGTATAGCCATAGAAGAGGGTCCCATAAAGGCTGTAGAATCTCTATTGCTGGCAGATTTCAAGACTCAGGCAAAGCCATGGCTGACCCCATATTGTATAGGCAGTAGTCCCATTTCAATTGGGGTTATCTTTCAAAATGATTTCTGTGATTCCATGATTAAAATGGTTCATCAGAGTTTGTACACAGGCAGCCTCTCAGAATCTGTAACATGACACAGGAAAGAAAAAAGGAATATTTAATAGATTCTGTGTACTCTATAAGATGTAAACCAGTGTTCTCCACTTTATTAGCCCAGCATTTTTTATTGCCTGTGTTTTTCTTTACGAACCATTACGCATCATTGTTTTGCATTCACGCTTGCCAGTAGTCAAACGATGTTAACTTTACTTGGCAGTACTGAAAACAGTTCATAACAGTCAGCTGGAGTTTTAGAATCCCTTATGAAGCAGTCTGTCTTAAGAAACAGTCCAGATCTCATCCTTATTTTCAAAATTATATTTTTTATAGCATTTTGGAAAAGAAACCATTTTGCTGACTTTTTCCCCTACCTTTTATAGTGTGATTAAAACTTTGAAGTCCAATTCTTGCACCTTCATGCCTGATAGTGGATTTTTTGTAAAGCATTGCTTTGTTACTTCTAGAGCTCATTGAAAGCAAACATAACTGACAACATTAGAGTTTTTATCCTAATGGAGAACCTTCCAAATCATTAAGTGGTCAGTAATTACAGGGTTTTCTATATATTATAAGCAGTAGGGTATTTTCTTTTCCTGAGAGTGTCTTCTCCAGATATGTATCAAGAAGGATCCATTGCAAAGGGAATAAATAGACTCTCCTGTTGTGTTTTTCTGGCAGATATTATTCCTACCTTGGCCCCATCCCTTGGGAAGCAACAATGAAACTGTTTTTCTTTTTTCCATGTATTTAACTGTATAAATTAGAAAAAATTTAGAAACTTAAAAAGCTATGAATTTTGTTGTGGGTTTGTTTTTTTTTTTCCCCATCATGCCAACATATCTCTAAGCTATCTGTAAGGGAAATACACTAGAAATGAGAGGACATGAGTAAATTAAATAAAATCAATCAATGTAAAGTCTATGCTGCCCTTTTCTTCTAAGTATTTTCATTCTTGTCCTATAACCATAATATATTTTTGTGTACATATCTGTTCTTTGTCTGCCTGTTATCTCTGTGATTCTCTTTCTCTGGTAAAAAGGAGCATCTCTTTTTTATATTTCATCTAATATGCTTTTTCTACAGATTTTGTCACATTTTTATGTATACTTTTCTGCAGGCACTCCATTAGTTTCCTCTAAATAATTGCCTAGGAGACAGTTCATTTTCCAAATAAATCAAAACATTAAGAACAGACCCACTAGAGTTTATTAGTCTTATTTACAAGTAAATATAGGGTAAAAAAGCTCTTCTGAAAATGCAAAAAATTAAGAATGTTTTAAGAGATATCTACAATTTGTAAACAGGGGATGAATATAGAGTACTGATCTGACATTTACTTAGTGTTTGTATAGCATGTTAGAAACTGTCAGAACACTTCTATATCTCTTGTTATTAGTATTAGGAAGTGGGGTTTTTTTGTTTTTATTTAAAAGACTGCTCATCCCATTGCTTACATTTGTTTTTCAGCTTGCTTGGGAACATGGAATACCCTTTTTTGAAACCAGTGCTAAAGATAATGTAAACATTGAGGATGCATTCTCAGTCTTGACTAATGAAATACTGGAAAAGGTAGGCTACTTTTCTGTGTAGAAAGAAGATGGGAGATTTTTCTTGACAGATTGGGTAAACAAGGTTCTAAATACAGAAGGGTTTAAGAAAGCACAGTCAGTACCGTTTTTGCATTATGGAGTTAATATTCGGGGGGAATCCTGTAGCTGTAGACGTAAGAGGCTGAACATGGGGGAGAAGAATTGTGCGAGAAGAGAACAGAAGCAAGTAAAATACAGTTCAGAGAGAAGGTGAAAATTCAGGAAAACTGCATTTGTGGCTTTCCTTCTCATGCTTTTCTTCAAGGGGGAGGTTAACAGCTCTAGTGTAGTTTCACTTCTGTGCCTGAAAAGATCCTTTTTCCTGTAGGTTTCTGTAGAATATGCACACTGTGAAGATGCTTCATGCGGATGGAATGATTGGACCTTTTGTGTTCAGCAATCAAATGTTTTATCCAAAGTTTATAGCTGTTTGTTTGGATCATTTACACTAATGCTTTTGAAGTTATTAGGACCTAAAGATTTGAGTTAATTAGTGATAAAATCAATATTGTAGCTGTCAGAATCAGAATCTCTAACTACCTCGAGTGTGTTGGCTTAAAGGTCCTTAAGAGTTGCAATACTTTTGTAGGACTGAATTATTGTTAATTAGCTCTGAAAATGTTTTGCATCGCAATTTATTTTTAGACAGTAGAATATTATTTTAGACATTAATGGATGTTCTTCATGCAGCGTATTATCATTGTCATTCATCACCAACATTAGTTATACAAAACTAACCTTCCATTCCGAATACTCTCGAAGTCATAATAAAGATAAATGAGCAAAATTACTGACAAAGTCACAAGTTGCAGTGTTTTGATTAAGTAGCCATAGGGGATGGTCAGAATAATAGCTCAGGGTTGGACTGCTTCTAAATCAAGGTCCTGTCGTATTATAGAATAACACAAGTTGTAGCTGGTTATTTTGGGGGAGGAAAAAAATGAAAAAAAGAGTGCTTTTGATTCCTTTAGCATGAAAAAGCAGCTCAGCAACTCAACAGTCAAGTATCATTCGGAACAGGAAGATAATGGCAAGTCCTTGGATAGTTGGCAAAAAGTCTCACATAAGATAACTCTGATTTTCTTGTAAATGAAAAAAACATTGCCTACTGTAAATAGACAACACATTTGTTAGTGTGAAGCATGAAAACTACAAACCAGTAGCTGTGATCATAACTGCTGCAAAGACAAATATGTGTGAATGGAGCATTTCTGCACAGTGTGTTTGAGTAAGGTCTGAGAGAATTCTCTGCAATGTGCAGAAATGATGTTTGGATATTTCTCACATTAAGATAACCTGCACTTATTTTACTTTAAGTGGAACTTTAGTATATGTACTCATCTTCATTAAAATTCATGGGTTTTGTAGTGTGGACATGCAAACAAATTCAGACCATGCTGAAAATATTATACCGCTGCATGACTTTAATTAGAACTGCTTGAGAATACAGTTCTACACTCTGCGTACATGTATGTGTGTTTGGAAAATATGTCCATGACCCTTTGTCAAGTTTGTCTCATTTTTCATCTTATCTAGAAATGTTTGCAATCCCTGATGTGGCATCACGTACCATTACTTCGGTGTATAATTTGCCATTTTTAGTGAAATGCATCTGTTGATTTAAACAAGGACTCCTTTAGCCCAGTGGTTTTGCCACTGGCCTGATAAGAAAGAGTTCAAAGTAAAAAAAAAAAATAAATCTACCATACAGTTTCATCATGGTTTTCAGATTCAACAAAATAATTTGCTTGTTCACAAAACTGTGAAATCTGAATGTAGTACTTGAATTTTAACCTCCTCTAACTGATGAAATTTTGGAGAAGGGAAAATGCAGTGGGAAGTGTGACCAGTAGCTGTGAAAAATGGCATGATAGATGCCAGTCTGAGATCACTTCAGTCGCACCTTCTTTCTGTAGTGGTAAAATACTTGCTGATTGTAAAAAGGAGATACAACTTTGCACAGTGTTTTGGCCCAAGACACCTGTGTCTGAGACGACAGGATATTGGGCCTCCCTTACTTCTGCAGTAGGACCACCTGTCCCAGACTGATGAGATGATTCAGTGGAAGCATGTCATTGCTTTACCAGTCCCACAGAGGAAACTCCTTTTAAGGAACTCCCTGGAAAAGTCTATTATGGCCGTGCTTTTGATGTGGAGGTCATTCAGAATTAAGATAGATAGGCAGGGCAAGCTGGCAGGCAGTAGACCATTTTCAGATACATTGCAGTAGGCTGTATTAATCTGAGGAAATCTAGGATTTTTTATATACGCTCTTATTCACCATCTATCATGGGCATTTCTTTAGTAACTAAATCTACAGAAAACACTCCTGTAGAGGGGCAAGATCAATGTCCAGAGTTACAGAGCTCATACAGAAGTAATGAGCTTCATGATTCTCTTGAAATTTAGAGTAAGTTGTGGTTCAGTGAAGGACTAGTAAAAAAACACATTAAAATGTGTCAGACATAACCAAAAAAAAAAAAGGCAAGTTTTTTGCTGCGTTTTCCTGTCTCTTCTTTTGTGATTTTACATGTAGTGGGTTTAAGGAAGAGAGAAGACTTCTGTATCCCAGTGATTCAGATAACTAAAGTACTGCTTGACCTTTCTGATATTTTATCATCTCAGCCATTCTATGCTAGGTCTCAATCCTACAGCTCTAATTTACACGGATAGTGTCATTAAAACAATCTGTCATTATTTGACAGCTTACATGGGTAGCAGCTAAGGAGTCATGCCATATTTTTGAGAACTCAAGATTTTCAAACCAATCAGTTAATAAGTTATTTGACTGTATTCAAAAGACTGCAGTGGAAATTAATGTTAATGACACAGCTTATTCCAGAGGTTTGCTTAGACATGTTGACAAATAACAACAGTATTGTATTTATTCACAATTCTTAGGAGTCTCAGATATGCCTAAACCTGTTCATTAATAGATGGCAGCTGTTCCTTAACAATGCTTCTGGTTGCCAGTGAAATATTTGTACTTGTGAGTCAGTCCTCAAAAAATAACCAACCCCCCCCAAATACCACCCAGAATGCAGTTAGTATTTGCAATTTTGTGTTGCTTGGTTTCATGGCTAACGAGCAGTACTCTTCTCAACTAGCTTTTTAAAAAAATATTACAAGTCTTTGCATTTCTGTCTTTGTGGGTGTGGTGGTTGGTATTTTTCTGAACTAGGAGCAGAAGGAGGGAAACTGTATTCAAAAAAATGAAAGTTTTTGCTGTTTTCTGAAGACTGCTATGTAACTCACTAAAACTTATGTTCTGCCCACCTCCCAAGAGTGATTGACTGCTAAGATTATTTTAATGTAACATTAAATAAGCATATATCTGCTGAACAGAGAAGAATCAAAATCCATTTAATAACATTTAATATTTAACAGCTGGATGTAATTTCAGATGAACATTCAGAAGTCGCAGGCCTCTGTTCTGTCCTTCCTTCATCTCTTTATCTTTCCTTCCTATGGCAACAAGATTTTTGAGATTACACTGTGTATCACATTCCTTTGCCCCTAAAGTACCTTTGAAACTTGCTAGCTGATTTAAACAAATTTGACAGGTCAAACTAAAAGATAATTAATCTCCTTTGAGTTCCTTGAAAATAAGGTGCTGGGTGCAGGAGAGGCAGAGTATTCTGCAGAAGGCAAACCTCCAGCGTTAGTTCATACGGTATTAGACAGAGGTGACTACACAGACAGACTGAAAAATGCTTCAACCAGCCACTCCAGCTGGAGATTGCATCGCAGATATCAAATTTAATTCACTGCAAGACCCAAATTCATAGGAAATCGGATTTCATTGTTGCCAAGGTTCATGGAATTGTTAGTTTGTCCAAAAGATCCCTGTGTCTCCAGCAGTGCACATTCAGTATTTCTTTATTATCCTCAGTCATGCATGGAGCCCCAGGCTTTATTTGCCCTTTATTTATCTTGTACTGACCACAGAATATTAATTTCTTCATGAGGTTTTTCATAATGCTTGTAATGCTGTATTTTAGATCTATTTTAGATTTTTATCTTTAAAACCTTCTTAGTAACATTAGTTAGCATTCTCAGCATTGCACACATGGGAACCAAGGTACAGAGATTAAAGCAAAGAGGATAAATGGTACCAACTCAGTGCTGGTGCAATGTAGGGCATAATTTTACTACACTATCTTGTTTAATTGAAGAAAAAAAAAAAAAAGTCTGTTCTGGACTTGGAATGAGCCAGATGTACCTCTGGAAACAGTAACATCTAATTAGGTCATGTAAATCAAAACTTAGTCATAATGTTTGAGTGTAAAGGATGAGATTCATCTTAGCATACAGCCTTAGTCAGCTGAAATTTCTGTGACTGATCTGGTTGTCTGGAATCGTCTATATTCAGTGGAAAGAGATGCATCTTTTTAGGATAAAATAGTGTTCTGGAGGTACTTTTCTCTCCATTGATTATAGAGGACTCCATATCTCAGCCTGTATGGTTTCATATGATTAAAGTTAAATAAATTAAACTCCAGGAGACCAAAGGACTGTTACACACTTGACTTACTTCTGGCATTTGCTGCTTCTGCAGGATCTTGACTTTAAAGCCTGATTGCTCTCTTAAATAGGGTTTTTGAGGTGGAACTAGATTAATCCTTACATAGATGATCTGTAGGGTTGAGGAACCTTAGGGTAACAGCACAGCTGTCTTCTCAAGCTTGTGGAATAACTAATTGCAGTATAACATTGTTACAGTCTACATGGTGTTAACAGAAGAGGGAGATAGAGACCTGCACTTTGCCAGTGGGTTAGATGTTTTAGGCATTGTGGAATAGCAGGCTTTGGGAGCAAAGACTTCATCCCCATTTCTCAAGGAGAGTGTTCTGCAGCAGTTAGATCCTGCTGTGCCTGACCCCATACCCTTTCCTGGTGCTCTCCCTGTCCCCCCAGTGATTGCTTTCCCTGCTAATATATCCCTGGCTCTTGCTTGTGCCCTGTCCTGCCCCTTCCTGTTGGTAAAGGTTTGTCTTCATTCTGAACATGTAATTTGAATTACAGAATGCAGGGAAAATACATGTCAAGAAAATGGCAGGACTGATCTTAGTAACAGCTCTACCTATCTACTGGCAGTTCAGGCTCAGAAGTCACATGAACTTGGTTGCATGTTCTCTGCCATGCTTTGCCACTCATCGTCAACTATCACTGTTAAATATAAACAAAATGATTGCAGCAATTAAGTATGATCATTTTGTCATTAGAGAGAATAAAAATTCCCAGAATTTAAAGAAGTTATATATTATAGTAACTTTGTTTACAGTCCCTTCTGCTCGTTTCTCTAAAACTCTTAGTTTTCCAATAAGTACTCCAAGTCTGACTTTGGGGACACTGAAATGCATTGAGTAAAATCCTGTCATTCTTCCAAACCCATAGTGAATCCCACCTCCAGAATAACTAAAACAGTATCAAAATACCAAGAACTGGTGCTAGAGTAGGTGAGTCTGACTTGGGGCACTGCTAATCTGAGCAGTTTATAGCAAGGAATGAGCAGCAGACCTTAATGAAGATTTATAAATTTACTCCATTAGAAGCCTTTCAAATAGTTTCTCTTAATTTTTGATATTTTCCTTTGTATACCAACTTAGCTTTCTTTTTCTGATTAAAAAGAAAAAGCCCAAAACATTTGGGATCACAGCTATCTCATCACAGTTCCTTTGTCTAGAAGTTAGGTATCTATTACATGCCAGTGATACAAACTCTGCTTAGAGCTGGGGAGGAGGGACAGCCAGGACGGGAGACAGCAGAAAGCTTGAAACTGGCTTGAACCAGATGCCTGCCTGTTAGGTGAGACATGTCTGCTGTGCTATTTAACAAGAAAAACTAGTATTTGATAGCAGGAAGTTTCAACTAAAATCACTGCAGGGTATAGTGGCATCTGTGTCTGTGGCTGTATTTTCAAAACCCCGCTTTGCCCAAGATGCTTAAGTGAAAACTCAAGTTTCTTGGTACCATTTTAGTTCTTCTCACCTTTTCACAGTTTTCTGCTGTTTGTTGGCTGGTTTGTTGGGGAGTGAGTTACAACAGGCTAAGCTGAAATGTGAGCTGGAAGTATTAGTGTTCACGGAGCCCTGAAGAAGGAATGCTGCCTGCCTTGTTCTCACAGGTGGGAGAGATTTGCATACCTCCCTGCTGTAATTTCCGGAGAGGAGGGTGCCCCACCTTTTCCAAGGTTTAGCTGAAGTTGATCACTACATGGGATTGCCCAGTCACTGCTTTGGTATTTTATGCAGGACTTGTAGTATCTCTTCAGGTTATGAATGTGCACTTTTTAAATGTGTGTATATCACATTTGCTTAAATTAATTCCAGGCCCTTATTTGCTTGATGAAGATCGTGCATGGAATAGTCTTATCAAACTGAAGTGATTCTTAAAGTCCTCAACTTCTAAATGGCTTTTAAAACAATTACCTCTTCTTTATTTGTGGAGAGGTGGTTCTTGTTAATCTGTCCTGCCTAATTTGTTGATGAACTACTCTCAGATAATGATTTTACAGATTATATGAACCATTTCATTGTCAAATAGGTTTCACCATTCTTAATCACTTACAGTATTGACAGTCCTTGCTAAGGATACATGAGCAGCTTAACTTGCAACCCAAAAGTACTATTAAGTAGTAAAATCTTTGCAAATAAGCATCTTCAGTGTTTAAGGAATATTCAAGTTTCTTCCCTTTAATGGGAAAGCAACACTTTCAAATTACCTGTTTAAAGTAAAGTAAGCAAAACCTGAATTCTGAAATTGTTCAAACAGGGTGTTTTCTAGAACTCTCTTACTCCTTAAACTGAATTTTTTTCTTCTGAAGAAAAACCAGGGGTGAAACAAAACCTACTTAAGTTTATGTCCACACTGATCAATGCTCAGTGCTATTTCTTGGTCTCAGTAGACTGAAGTTAAACCTCTTACTATACTATTATCTTCCAAAGCTTCCCCCCCCACCCCAGAACCTTATCTCTAAACCAGAGTGGTGTCTTGTTCCTTGAGATGACAAGGTTATAGTTGTGTACTTTTGATTCTGCCTTGCTCCCGCTTTTTAAAAGGTCTTTATACTTTACTGTCTACGCTTGAAAACTATCAAATGTTTCCACCTAGCACAGATCATAATGGCTTATGCCTGTACTCAAGCACTTTACACAACTGTGTAAAAAATTAAAATGAGAAGTTAGGAAGCTGCATGTTGAAATTTGTGTGAACTCTGAAGGATAATAAAAATGTTATTTCTGTTGGTACTTGTCACTCCAACAAAAGAACAAGTAAAAATGCTCATGCTGTATTTCTTCATACATTATTTATATGTGACTGATGACAAGTAATTCCTAAAATCAGTAAGTCACCATCTTCTAGTGCCCTAGAGTCAGAACATAAGTGTTAATAATTTTATTGATGACAGCTTCGGCATCCATCCTGAGCTTTAGACACTGCGATACCTTTCCTGCCCTCTGCTCCTGACTCTGTCCATCACTTCTGATCCCTTCTCGGGTGTTTCATCTTCTCCCCCAGCAGTGTGCACTGTGGAAGCCTCCTTGCAGCCCCAGGGAGAAATGGGCTCAGCCTCTCTCTTCATGGGGATGGTCCTGGCACAGGGCAGCCAACACACTGGGAGAGCTAAAACTGTGGCTACAGAAGGAAAAATGAAACAAATTTCATGCTTCTTCTCCAGAATTATAGGTAGCCTTAAATATTCTCAGCCAAAGAGGCACAGGGCTTATGGGGGAACCTTTTATTTTCCCCCCATTTTGGTTTAGCTAAGTAATTTTAGTTGAACCTTTCTGGATGTAGTCAATGTTCAACTACCCAGCAACATTGTATGTGTAAGTTCTCGATTCTGATACTATGATTAGCATTGTACTACATGTTGGCTTTTTTTCTCCTCTTCTTTTTTCTTTTTTTTTTCCTGTGCTTTGAATTTCATGACATGCAGCTTAGATCGCTATCCTCTCTGGAAGCTTGTCTTTATTGTCAGAGATGGCTCATTATGGCTGTTGGATTTGGGTTGAGAGGAATGTGGTGAATCCAGTGGTTGCACTTTATTCTCTGTATATCATTATATACTTGGTAAACCTGCCAAAAAGCAGGCAGGAGAATGGCAAGTAGAGAAATTAGGAGTTTTTTTTCTCCTAGACATGTGACATTATTCTCTATGTCTTTGTGCCTGAGTTCAGGGTTCAGTGTTCATAGTTCTAGAGTACAAGATTGCAACATGTACTGTATTGCACAACTGAGTTTGATTGTGTCTCTGTTCAGCACTAATTATCTAGTTGAGTTTATTGCTGAAAGGAAGAGTCCTGGTTTTGCTGATTTTTTTAAATTTTTTTTTTTTCAATCAGAACATAAATGTTTTACAAGGGCGGAATGTTATTTTCATAGTTTATCTTGATAAAGACTGAGTAGTTTCCATTTGGGGTATTCCTGGTTAATAAATAGAGGCAAGAAAATAGAGAGTTTTAGTGAATTTCACAGAACAAGTTAACATCCTTTATAACAATTAATAGCCCATGCCTTTTTTTATGGGTACTGATGTTCTGTATTTCCCTATTCCTTTCCACTGGATTTTTGCACCCCATGCTCAGTATTTCAAAGATTAGTGTACTTAACTGCAAATTAGTGAAAATTGTTGTAGTCAGCAGAATAACCTGTACATCTAGAACAATTAATGTGAGTAAAGATTTACAAGATCAGTCCATATGCTCTGTAGTGTCTCCTCAAAAGGTACTTTCTATCATCTGTCATGTTCAGAGGTAGGAGAGATGTTTGAGGCAGCTAAAGAATGTAAATATACCAAGCTGGGACTTGCATGGGCATCAGTCTCCATCTAATTTATTAGAAAACTGCAATCTTTTAATTAAATATTCAAAGGAAAAATATATCTAGTGACTCCACCAAACCTTTTACGTATTAAAATATGTGAAAATTTAAGCTTTTCAACTGTTGTGTTCTAGTTATCTTAATTGTTTGCTTTTGTTTGTTTTACAGAAAACCTGTGTATTATATGACTTAGATGTTGTGGCTCTAAATGAAAGTAAGAAGAGAACCTGCTGTGCATTCTGAAGTATTGTTTCTTAATCCATTTTCTTTTCAGAAAATATTAAATGTTGCAGAGGAACATACAAGATTTTAAAAGTGAGCCTGTAATCCCAAAACACAGTATTACACAGACTTTGTTGCCAAATGTTTTGATATGTTTATATTATATTTTCATATTTTTAATGTGAAGTTAAAACAATTATCTGACTTTGGAATTATTAGATGCATCGCAGGATGACTGCATTTGCATACAAATGTTTGCAGAAATGAATATAAGTGATAATTTTCTAAGTCTAATTTTCTCATATTAAAAAAAAAATTACCTTGACTTCTTTTTTCTGTGTTATTTCTGCAAGATTTGTAATGTAATGAACATTGACACCATCACACAGGCAACTTTCTGATACATGAAATCACTTTTGCTATCCCCTAGATAATATCTCTTTAAGTGGCTGATATTTACCGCAGTACGCTAAAATAATTTTCTGGGAATTCTCGGCTTTGTTTCTTTTATAGCCATTTCAGAAACATAGGTGTTACTTGAATACCCTTGAACAGGGAGGCTGCAAAGGTGAGGGCTCAGAGGAACAAATAAGAATAAGCCGTATACAAGATCAGTATGTTGCTGAGCCTTCCTTAGAAGGCAGGAAACATGGAATAATAGAATGCATCCAGTAATAATTATCTTGCTAATATAAAGTTTTATTATTCTATGAAATAATTCATGCAGGTGTTAGCAGCATACCTGCATTTTCAAATGTTCCTTTGCTCATAAATGATCACAATTTTAAAAGGATGTGCAGTGCTTATTTGATATTGTGAGATATTTATGTTATTTTCTTAATGTATAAATACATCAGGTATCTGATTCTGCTCATTTAGATCTGTTTTATACTGGTATGTAATATCTTTAATTTCATTGAAGGATATATGATCTTATTTAAACTTAAATGAGGGCAGAATCAGGTTACCATTTTTTTTCTTTAATCAAAGGCAAAGAAAATACAAATCAAACCTGCTGGACAGGCACAAAGCAAACACAAGTTAGGAAATCTGAAGAATTGTGATCATATTGTCTTTTTATTAATTTTTTTTGCCTGGGAGTTGTGATTCTTGCTATTACATTTATTTTTTTTATCACCATTTTTGAATTAATAATACTACTGTGCAAAACTGTGTTGTGAGCCACCTCAGCACATCCAGAAAAACTAACTCCACTGGCTTATTGTTCTGGAATGTCACTCCCCTCCTGAAATATGCCTACTTCTTTTTGAGGGCTGTTTGCAGACTGTAATAATATCAAAATATTATTAAATTTGGTATTGAGACAGTGAGCTCAACTGGAAAATGCTCTCTGAAGCATAGGGGACATAATGTGCCTGCGCATACTGCCGGGTTACTGTCCCACCAGGCCATTTAGTATGCTTGCAGAGGGGTGTGAAAGGATGGGAAGGGCTTCGTGTTTACAGCTGCTCCAGACTACTCATTATGGTCAGTCACTTAAACTAGCAAAATCTGAAAACAAGGAACAAAGGGTAATCACTGCTTTAGTTACAACTGTAGCAGAGGAAGAAACCAGTGTTGGAAGGGATTTTGAGAGGCTGTCTAGGTCCTTGTCTTGTGGTGTCTCTGAGTGGCATACAGTCTGTTTTAAACTGGTTTGGCAAGCAGGAAGTTTCCTAATACCTAACTTAACTGACACACGTGGAGAGCAGGCTCTCCCTTTCCTCTTGATGTAGGTGAACACCTCTGCCTGCCCTCACTCTTCTCTTCAGGCCAGAGAGCCCCTGTCCCTTCTACCTTACCTTGTAATTTTGGTTTTTGGAATCCTTTGCCAGTTTTGTCTCTTTCCTCTCAATATTTTTGTGTTCTCAGCTATCCTGGAGTTTAGACCTGAAAACTGAGCAGGCTATTCTGTAAAATGATTTTTTCGTTATCTTATGATACTCCTATTTATGCATTCCAGCATCAGCATAATACAAGATAGCCTAGCACTGCTCATGATCCATAATCTCTTTCCTGAAGAACTGCTTTTTTATCCTGGTACGTACTTGTGCAGCTGATTATTCCTTTGTATGTGTAGAACCTTCTGTTTCTCCGTATTCGGTGGCATTTCAGTTTCTCCAGTCTGTCAAGATCCTTATGAATCGTAATGCTGCGCTCCAGCATAGTTGGAGCCTCTTCCTGTAGATGCAGTCTGCAAATGTGAGTAAGTGTACTCTGCTCAGTCATCAAAGATACTGATGAAAGTACTGAATAGTTCTGGATCCAAGACAGATCTCAGCGAAATCCCATTCTGTATATCCTTTCATCTTGAGACTACTAATTATTTCCAACTAATTTTGCACTCATATGCTTGTCTAGACTTTTTTTTTTTTTTTTCGGTTAAGAGCACATTTTGTGAAACCCTATGATCCTCACTCTTTCTACCCTATCCATGAATCCTGTTACCATCTGGTAGAAGTGAATTAGATTGATGTGGTATTATTTGTTACTGACAAACTCATGCTTTACTTCTTCTATCTTTACTTTCTAGACTCTTGCAAATGGTTGGATTACCTTTTTTTTTTTTTTTGAGAAACTAACTAGTTTTTGAGAAACTAACTAGTCTAACCAGTTTGTAGAGCTCTTTCCCTTCACCCTTTGAGAGACAGGCAATCCTTTTCAAGTTTTCTGGAACCTCACTCATTCTCTATTGATTCTTGGAGGTAATCAGTAGCAGCTCTAACGTTGCTTGAACGCTAAAGGAGTTTTATCAGGTCCAATCTGTCAAAAAATCTTTAGCTTACCTAGTATTTTCCAGTCTATTTCTTCATTTTTCTAGGCCAAGCTCTTCGACCTTTGTCAGTACTGCTAATAGTGAAATCACATTTTCTTTCTTAAACTGAAGACTGAGGTTGGAAAAGGCATTAAGGATACTGGAGTCTCAGCATCTCAGTCATTAGGTGATGATTAAATAGATTTCCCCTCTGTGAAATGACAGAACAGTTTTTTCCTTCCTATTCTCACTATGCATCTTTCCAATAGCCTTGCTATCTTTTAAATCCAATTTTCCAACATTTTGGGACCTTATCTTTCTGGTTTTGTCTATACGTAGTCTGTACATTTATTTGTAATTTAGCAATCTGACCTACTTACTACTTTCTTTCAGATCATTGAAGATTTTATGATTCAACCCAGTTAGTCTTTATTTCACTTCCTTTCCTTCCTCTGTGTAGATCAAATTCTGCAGTTTTGCCTTCAGCACTGGATCTCCCATGAACTTCAATCTGTCCTGAACTCACAGAAGTTTAGCAACTAGTTCTCTGAGTTTTAGTCTCCATTTAGTTCCTCCTTCTCTTCCTAACAATGATAAATAGATAAAAGAGGGTAGGATTGATTTGTAATTTTAATTTTGTCTCTGTATAGCTAACGAGCATTTCAAATACAGGAGTTTTTTCTATACATTTTTCCTTCTCGCAGTGTTTTCTGCTACTTGTGGCTTAAGTATGATCCACTCACTGGCTCACTTTAGGGAGATGCAAACACTTAGGTTCCCATTCAGTGTTTGCTGCATGCTTCACCCCTCCTACCTGATGCAGTGTGCTTCACCTAACACTCCAAATAGCAAGAGTGCTCTCCTCTTTGCATCTTTTGCTCTCCTGGAGCAAAACAGCTGCCTTTTTCTGAGCATATGCATTGTTGGGTACGTTCACAGGAGTGTGCCACTGGGGAAAAACCACCACTCTCACTAGAAAGGACCAAAAAACTCTCCCACCAAAATGGAACACTGTGCTTGGAGGCATTTTCCCACCTAGAAAATAGGATGCAAGTTGTGAGCATTATCTTCATTTAGTTCTCTCCGAAGCTGGATGATAGTGTTGCACAAATTCCCACAGATGGAATTTTTAGAATAAATAAAGGTTAAATAAGGGATTTGACTGGAAAAAGGAGGACACCTTTTATAGTGAAATAGAAGATAAAAGGTGAACATTCACACCAGACCCTCAGATCTCTTGAGAATATCCTACCTGAGCAAAGATTGTTTGGATTTTGCCAGTAAGACAGGAATAACATTCTCTTTCAAAACATGAAACATGATGTACAGACATCAACTATATCAAATGTGGTGTTCTCTTTCCCCCTTGCCTCAGAGAAATGTAGGTATTTAGGATCTGATTCTGAAGCGATCACTGCATTGCCTGTTGTTTCCCACTGGACTTGTAAATACTTATTACAAAAAACAAGCCTTTGGTATAAAGGCAAATCACCTGTAGGAAGAAGAAATGCAAATTCATGGGACGTTTTAAAGAAATACTGACTATGAGGGCTCTACATGAAACAGTGTATAAGGCTCAGAGTCTTATTTGGTGCGTGTATACTAAGGTGTAAAGCATGTTACCAGATTCATACTAAATCAGTTTGTTGTGAACAGCTCCATTTCAAATGTTAACGTAGATACAAACTGATGAGGATCCAAAATGCTTTAAAAAAATCATTTTACTGGCAATGGAATAAATATATACTAGAGATTTTACAGCCTGCTGCATAAATGTGTTGTGAAATCAACATGAAAGTCAATTTAAAATGCATTTAAGAGTAATTTCAGGAATTATTCTGAGTCCCCCTGCCACTGCTTACCTTTTTTGGTGACAATTTGCTGACAGGCACATACAGAAAAACTAAGATTTGTGTAACTGAGGCCCTGGTCCTGAGCTGGATCTTCTCACAGGGATTCCACCTGATGGCTTCATTAGCATTTTGCACCAGTGGGAGACTCTGGTAAGAGATCACACTAAGGAACTAAGGCATTTCTAGACATCACAGAAATCATTATATCTAAAGTTTTAATTATATATAAGGTGCTGTTAAAGCAAGAAATTGTCTGAGATTCATATGTGCTGGTGATTTGAATACTGTGTATGTAATATTAGAATATATTTCAAGGAGGTTGAGCTATAGTACAGTTAGGATACATAACAAAGTCACTCTAAGAGCTCCATCGAGGCATTTAAATACCAGTAAGCTTTATGGTGTCTCATTGCCTGGAAATAACTGAATTAAATTTAAATAGTATCTAGAAGTTATATTTTTAAAAAACGCATCTTGTTCCAGCAGGATGGGTAAGAGTGGGTGGGGTTTCCACTGGTCGGAGAGAACACAAACACAGTTGCGTGAAGATGGCTGTAGGCCATCTAAAACCATCTGAAGAATGAAAAAATCTTTAAATAAAAAGCAGCAGTAACTATTTCTGTGTGAAGATGCATTTCTTCCCAGACAGCGGAAGTGCATGATGTCTGAGAAGAGTATTTGCTGTGAGACAGTATCTATCCTGGAATTAATAGTACCCAAGATGGTGCTTAAAAACAATTGTTGACAGACTAGCACTTCAACTATTGTGAATATGGTGAATCCCAGTCTGACCTAATTTGCTTTGCTTTATACACTGCCCCCAATAACCTCTTCAAACCTGAACAAGTTAAGACCATGGTTTTGCTTTCCATATTTCAGCAATAATGCTCTTTGCTGTTATATTACTTTGCACTTCAATAGCTTAATTCACTCGAGTTGTTCAAAGCATTTGGTGAACTCTGTGAAAGGGAAGCTACTTGGAAAAAAACCCGAGTGTCATATTTTTAAAGCTAACTATTCTGGTAGGCAGGATCTAATGGCGGCATGGCTGAGTGTCAGAATTAAGGTTTTCCTTAGTGCTGGGAAATCCCGGTGCCAAACGGTGTAGCTAAAGCGTGGACCCACATCAGCATGAGGTTCAAACCAACCCCGATCCATTTGAAACGAGATAACTTGGGTTTTCTGTAACCCTCTGTGCCGACTGGCTTCCACGGTCTTTGTTTCATCTTGGAGTGCATGGCTGAAGTCCCAGTCTCTGTTTGCAGCAGAGCAGAACAAGAGTGTGTCTGTCTTGGCCCTCCTCATGCTCGCGGTGGTGCTGGCACCAGCAGTCGCAAAGGCACGCAGCAGCGGCTGGCCCGTCACCAGGCGTGCGAGGAAGGGCGAGCAACAGGAGAGCTCGTCGTACAACAGCTCTTCCCCCAGCTCTGCCAGCCCCAGCAGTCTCCAAGACAGACACCGTGGAAGATGGAGCCTGAAGAGGGATGTTAGCTGTGGATGTTTTCCGTCGTTTTACAAATCACTGAAAGGCACTTTTATGTTTCTAGTCAACAGCACAGTCTTAAACGTAGCCAAGTTTACTGCAATAAAATAAACAGCTTTGACACAAAAGCGAACAAAATAAACTTAAGCACAGCACAATGCAACCACCCAGGAGTTAGTTTTTCTGGTTTAATTTCCCAGAGTGTCTGCAGTCTGGCAGTCTGGAGATGCCTGAAAATGCATAAAAAGTGGTATCATTAAATAAAATATCTTACGAAGTCATAGAAGACTTCATCACATAAGCCACTTTGAAAAGAGAACTCATAGCTGATTTTAAATATTCCCGTGGTCTGAAGACCCTTGAATACACAATATAGGTAATACATGTGATGCTTGCATGTGCAGTAATGATAGAAGTGAGTTGAAGATTTGCCTCTAACTTCTGCGCACTACTCTTCATACGTTAAATACCCATCTATAGTTCACAGGTGAAAAACTAAAAAAATAGAGATATAGATAGAAAAACTAAAAAAAAATAGAGATCAAAGTCGCCATCTAATTGGACTTTTTTTGAAAGAAGGCTGAATTTCACAGGCAAAGTTACAATGCTAAATTAAGCGGTGAGAAGCTGCAATGCAAGCCTCTTGCTCAAAATTGCTTTGATAAATGAAACGAGAGTGAACCCACGTCCTCCAAGACCCCCGAGTACCCGCCCTGCGCCCCGACCCCTGTCCCGTCGTGTCCCGCCCCACCGGCCG